CACCATGGAATACTATGCAGCCATAAAAAAGGATGAGTTTGTGTCCTTTGTAGGGACATGGATGCAGCTGGAAACCATCATTCTCAGCAAACTATCACAAGGACAGAAAACCAAACACTGCATGTTCTCACTCATAGGTGGGAATTGAACAATGAGAACACTTGGACACAGGAAGGGGAACATGACACCAGGGCCTGTTGTGAGGTGGGGGGAGGTGGGAGGGTTAGCATTAGGAGATCTACCTAATGTAAATGATGAATTAGTGGGTGCACCCATTAACTCATCATGGCACCTGTATACATATGTACCAACCAATATGGCACATGTATACATATGTAACATGGCACATGTATACATATATAACAAACCGGTACCTTGTACACATGTACCCTGGAACTTAAAGTATAATAATAAAAATTAAACATCCTCTGAGCTCCACCCGTTCATCCCTGCCTCCCCCAATCACTGGAAGCCACTGATCTTTTTACTGCCTCTGTAGTTTTACCTTTTCCAGAATGTCCTAGGGTTGGAATCCTGTAGGATGTAGCCTTTTCAGATTGGCTTCTTTCACTTAGCAATATATGTTGAAGGTTCCTCCATGTCTTTTCATGGCTTGATAGGTCATTTCTTTTTAGTGTTGAATAATAGTTCATCGTCTGGATGTCCCACAGTTTCTTTATCCATCTACCCACTGAAGGACGTCTTGATTATGTCCAGGTTTTGGCAGTTGTGAATAAAGTTGCTATAAACATCTGTGTACAGATTTTGCATGGGCATAAGTTTTTAGCTCCTTTGGATAAATACGGAGGAGCACAATTGCCAGATCATATGCTACGAATATGATTTGTTTTGTAAGAAACCATCAAACTGTCTCCCAATGTGGATGAACCACTTTGCATTCCCGTCGGGAGCGAATGGGAGTTCCTGTTGCTCCACATCCTCGGCAGCATTTGTTGGTGTCATTGTTGTTTATTTTTGCCGTGCTAATAGGTGTGCAGTGACATCTCATTGATGTCTTAATTTGCATTCTCTGTGACATATGATGTGAAGCGTTTTGCCATATGTAGATTCACTCTCTGTAAATCTTTTGTGAAGTGTCTGTCCAGGTCTTCTGCCCATTTTTTAATCTTGTTCATTTTCTTGTTGAGTTTTTAAGTTTTTTGTGCATTTTGATGTTAACAATCCTTTGTCAGATGTGTCTTTTGCAACTATTTTCCATCAGTCAATGGCTTCTCATCTTGTTGACATTGCCTTTCACAAAGCAGAAGTTTTAAATGTTAATGAAGTTTTTTCGGATCTTGTCTTTAGTGTGGTGTCTAAGACGTTATTGTCAGACCCAAGGTCTTCTAGATTTTCTCTTATGTTTTCTAGGACTTAAGGTTTTGCATTTTACACTTAGGTCCATGATCCATTTGGGGTTAATTTTTGTGAATGGTGGTGCCAGGTCTGCACCTAGATGAATGTTCTGCCTGTGGATGCTGAGTGGTTTAGCAGCGCTTGTTGAAAAGATGCTTCTTTGCCTCACAGTCACATTGTCAATGATGTATGTGTGTACACTGAAATATGTAGTACAGGTATTCTGGACACAAGTCCTTATCACGTGATTTACAAATATGCTCTCTCAGTGTACAGCTGGTTTTTTTGTTCTACCAGTGTCTTTTGAGAAGCAGAAGTAGAAATTTTTTTATAGTCCAGTTTGTTAATTTTTTCCTGTTACGGATCTTGCTTTTGGTGTTGTACCTAAGAAATCTTTGCTTGGTCCAAGGTTCTAGTAGTTTTCCTTTTATTACTTTTATGTTTTACATTTGAACATTCGAGTCTGTGATCTTTTTTGTGCTGATGTTTGCACATGGTGTGGGGTATGCATCCTGTGTGTATCTGTTGCAGCACCCCACATGTCTGGGCTCTTGTTGTATTGACTGCCCGTGCACATGGGTGTTGATCTCTGGAATGTGTGTTTTATTCCCTTGATTATTTGTCTGATGCTGACACTACAGTGTCTTAATCACTGTAATGTTATAGTAAGTCTTAAAGTAGGTATGGAACCTCCAGCTTTGTTGTGACCCTTCTAAATGTTTTGCATTTGTATATGAATTTTAGAATCATCATTACAATTTTTCAGAAAGTCCTGTTGGTGTTTTTATTGGGATTGCATTGATTCTGTAAATTCACTCGAGAAGAATTTACCCATTTTACCAATGTTAAGTTTTGCAACCCACAGGCACAGACTATGTCTTTATGTAGGTCTTTAAAACGTTCGCTTGGCAGTGTTTTGCAGTTTTCAGCATATGAGTCTTTGATGATCTTTTGTCAGATTAAAATACAAAAAATTAAATTACAGTCATGCCCCAGTTACCTTTCTTGTAGAGTGAGCTTTCGTGGCTTATGTCTTTTTTTTTTTTTTTTTTTGAGACGGAGTCTCGCTCTGTTGCCCAGGCTGGGGTGCAGTGGCCGGATCTCAGCTCACTGCAAGCTCCGCCTCCCGGGTTTACGCCGTTCTCCTGCCTCAGCCTCCCGAGTAGCTGGGACTACAGGCGCCCGCCACCTCACCCGGCTAGTTTTTTGTATTTTTTAGTAGAGAAGGGGTTTCACCGTGTTAGCCAGGATGTTCTCGAACTCCTGACCTCGTGATCCGCCCGTCTCGGCCTCCCAAAGTGCTGGGATTACAGGCTTGAGCCACCGCGCCCGGCATGTCTTTTAAGGAATGTTTCTGTTTCACGTAATTTATTAGCGTGAACTTTTTCATAATATTCCATTGTTACCTTTTTCCTGTTGATGGAACCTGTAATGATGTTGCCACTTTCATCTTGATGCTGGTAATTTGTATCTTTGTGACAGTGGGCACCTCTGAGCCCTAAATGTCATCATTACTTGCTGTAACTCGAATCTGTGCATTGCATAGTTTCATAGATGTGACACCAAAACACAATTTATGTAAAAACTGGCAAAATCTGAATTAGGTCTATTACCGCAGTCACATGAGCGTCCTAATGTAAACAATGCATGACTGTTAGGTAAGAGATGATCATCAGGGAGCCAGGGAAGGGCACACAGAAACAAGTTATAAGACAAGATTATTTCACTTTAGGTACTTGTGGAAAGGAGAAAGCCATTAACCCTGTGTTTTTGTCTGCTTTTAGTGCTTGAGCTGTTTAGAACCTTTGTTTCATTAGTGTTACATACATCATGGCTCTTGCAGGATTTTAAATGTCCGTGTTCCTTAGTTTTGAAAACTAACGTGAGATTGGTTTAAAACCTTTGGATTGTGTTAGACTAGCAAAAGTTTTGACAGTTTGCTGTCTAAAAAAAACCAAAAAAAAAAAAAAAAAAAAAAAAAAAAACTTGAGCAATGAAGTCTTAAGAGAGAAGGTTTAAAGGAAACTTTGATAAATTAAAAGTTGGGAAAAAAAGGAAGAAAATAAGTAGCCTAAAACAATCCACGTAAGAAAAGAAGTTCCCAAGGACTC